CACCCCCTTCTGCCTCTTCCCCTCCCTCCCAGTGCCTCCTGTACATCGCCAAACAGCTGGTTGTGGCAGGTGGGAGGCAATGGGAAGGAGGAGGAGCTGATCTCTGGGCCTGCTCGTGGGTACTGAACACCCACTATTTTTTTCCTGTGGATGCTCCAGCCCTGGGACACCCATGAAGTTGGCCTATGACAGTCACCACAAACCCCGAGCTTAATATGCACATGCATTCTAACATCATCTCATCAACAGGATACTTATCAAAATCTCTGCTACTGAATGGCTAAAAACTGTGCTTATTGTTTTCCCTGCCCCCAATCCCAGCCCACTTGTCTTATCCTTCTGTTACATTATGTCTTGTCTTTTAGACTACAAAATGCCTCCACTGGGCATGTGTGTCGTATGAATGATGGGTGCAACCCAAAGGACATCCTCTACTGCATCTGGAAAATGATTCAAAGGATGCCCAAAATTGCATTTCAGGGATATGTGCAGGCAAAACGTCAAAGACATGGATGCGGACAACTGGGAAGATCATACTCCGAACCTCAGCCTTTGGAAACAAGAGTTTAACCAAAGGTCTCTGGAATTATCAGAAGAAGCAGTCTAGCTTCACAGAGGAGAAAAGAACCCGCAGAAAGCAGAGCCTGAAGGGTTGGAACACCACCATTAAGTATGACAGATGTGGCCAACATTGTCTCTCTCAGATGGGTCTCTTCAGACACAGCCAAGGTGACCATAAAACCAGCTGAGTAAATTCTTTGCCGCTTGAGACTGAAGGATGCCTACTAAAAAATTAGACTATAAATCCTTTGGGTCAGCCACTATCATTTATAGTGCCTAGCACAATGGAACAAACTAGATGTGGCCCTTTAGGTGCTAACACATTATAAAGGCTACCTAATTTTATTCTTTACATGGGTATGTCTACACTGCACAGATATTTCAAAATAAGCTGTTCTGGAATAGTTATTCCAAAATAGCTTATTTTGAAATAGCACATCTACACTGCAGGGAAGCCTCAAAATTAGTCCGAGGAGGCTTCCCTAATGTAGACGTGCTATCTCGATTTAGAGCCCCAGAAGGCACTAGGAAGGAATAACTTAGAATGGCCCTGGGGAGGGGCAATTTCAAAATAGCAGCAGTGGAGCATCTACACACACCCTATTTCAAAATAGCTATTTCGGAATAGATGTTATTCCTCGTGGAATGAAGTTTACAGAAGTTGAAATAAGTCGTCCATTATTGTGAAATAATGGAATTGCAGTGTAGACACACCCAAAGTTGTTATTCTTATTAAATAACTGAATTTGGTTCTGCAAACAAAAGCCAATGTAAGCGCTCAGATCTTCCAGCTGTTTTAGTTTTCCAATACTGCCTCCATGCCACACTTCTTAGCTATCACACTGGTCAACTATGCACCCCCCATACATCAGTCTTAGTATTCCCCCTGCTTCCTGGGTAGCTCTGAGCTCTCTGCAAAGGGAGTCTCACCTCAGCCAAACTGCTAGAATCCAAGGGAGTGAGACTACTATTTGATGACCTACAGGAGCTGTGTCAAACAGAAATCATATGTACACCATGCATTCTGGGGGAACAGGTCACACCCACTGGGTGGAGTGCAGCCTGCAGTCATCAGTGGAGATCTCCCCAGCAAGTGGTTGTGGGGAGAGGCAATGGATGGCTCTTTTACCAGACAAGGTAGTTGGTCTGTCAATGGGCCCAACTTAGGGTTAGACAGAGGCACTTCCTTTTTTGCTCTGCCATGCATCATCTTGAAATGCAATGTCTGTATGGGTCTGGCCTTATACATAGCTCCTTCTCTGAAGGTGTCTGTCTCCATGTTGATAAGTAGAGGAAACTTGCACTGAGCTCTGCAAATCAGAGAGAGCTCCTCAACTTTGTCTAATGGAGAAGCTCTGCCTAAGTTCAGAGAGTGTTGGAGAGAGGTCCAGGCTCAATAACTATGTCAATCTGAGTATCAGCTGATGCTTGATACTCATTAAAAAGGGGGGACTGTAGTTCATTTCAGATAAACAGGTCTCTTCAAGATCTAAATTCCAGTGATAGTGGGTAGAACTGTGCTGAAAAGTAGCCAAGTTCAACAGCTAATACCAGTGAAGGAGCCTGATTTGGTGAATCCCATCTGGTGGACATCACCAGTATAGAAGATGATGACTGTTTCGGAGCACCACAATAGCAGAAGACACCTGTTTTGTCAGTACAAGAGAACCTTGATCACTTATTTAGGTACTGATGGTAGCACAACATGTATAATTATGGCTTTCTAGATGTATAGTGTTTAGACTCATCCATGTTATGGCCGTGTTTGGGGAGCACCAAGGACTGCTTCAGTACCAAGCCATGCTCAGTACCATGACCTATGTAAGAACTTGGGAGTCCTAGAATCAGTACTGGTACCAAAGGAACCTTGAGACTCAGTGGGACCGAAAGTTTCCAACATGGTCTTCATCTGGGGAGACTGGGATTGCTTTGAAATAGGCTCTTTATGAGAACTAGAATTCCCCTTCTTATGAGTCTTCCTGGTATCCACCACTGATTCCTCCCACGAAGATCTAAGCAAATACAATATGGAGGCTGATGAGGCACTATGCTCACTCAGAAAACTCATGTATGGGGGATATTTCTTGGCCTGGATTTGAGGCCTGGAGGATGAAATGCTCCATTCTCAGGAGCCTGAAACTTATCTCCTGATCTCTTCTAGCTCCGCTTTTAAAGGCTGAGCAGATAATACACATTTTAGAGATGTGAGTCCCCCAAACAGTGAATACACTGGGAAGGCATACCACTGACAGGGATAGACTCCTGATGGCTGAGGGAGTGCTTAAATCCCAGAGATCCTGGAATATCCTGGAAGCAAAGGGGATGAATCCCAAAAGGAACTCCTTCGGTAGGGAAAAAAGTATAAAACAAACCACTAGCATAAAAATAAGAAAGCGTACAGATGAATTAAAGTAGAAGTACATAACGACACTAAACTAAACTTTGAATGGTAGAAGTGGTCATGGTACATCCTACATGCTCCATCTCAGGCCAAAACACCTTAGAAGAAACAGAGCAGCAGCCCCATATATATTTGGTATGAGACACAAGGATGTATATATAGGGAGTGTGCACAGACTAAATGGACACTGTTACTGAAAATTTCTGATCACAGGTGCATACGTATCTGAAATGAAGCACCCACAGAGATACAACTTGAAGAATGCAGTAATAGGAAAGTATTTAGAGTATTTTCTCTGTCTTTTAACACCATACAACAGCCATACACAAGGTTTGAAGCCAGCCAAAGTGACCATGCATCTTCCACTGCATGCCAGTGCTTTCACAGAACACATACAGAGAACTTCTGCTCTTGAAAAACCCTGCTTGTTTCTAAAGACTATTTTTCTCCACTAATTAATAATTTAAATCTTGGAGAATTAGAATAGGCCTATGCCCTGGTGTGTTTCTGGGACAAAGAAGAACCTGGAATAAATGCCTTTTCCTCTTTGACACATTAACATGGGCTCTATGACATTCTCTGCAAGGAAGGATTGGAATTTCTGGCAATGTCTCTTTGTGATAACATTGAACTTTAAGAAATACATTTAAGAGAGGCAGCTGAAGTAATTTTTCTTAAGTAAATTCTGTGGCTCCCCACCAGAAAATGGTGAGGACATGTGGAGCTGAAGGCTTCTAGTGTTCCTCCAGGTAGTTGTTCCTCCAAAGTGGATACTGACTGACTGGTCATTTCAGAACCTTAAAAAAACCTAGAAAATCTTGATGCTTTTATGAAATTGCCTTTGGATTGTCTACTTTCTCCATAAAGAGAGATAAGAAGCTACCGGAATTTTGTGTATGCACACATCTAAATCTAGAGTCAAATACAGGCTTAATTATTAAGAGGAGCTGCATAAAAAAGTTAAGTTGGCCCTGTTACATTGCTCAAGGGTGTGAAAAATCCACACTCCTGAATAACGTGGTTAAGACAACCTAAACCTCTAAATACACAGTGCCTGATCAATGCAAGATCTGTTAACCAAGTTACTGCCTCTTGGGGACATAGCATAACTATAGTGAGGAGAGCATATACACTTAAACCTCTATAGAAACACAGCTGTAGACCTAAGCAGGTGCTTTTTTCTTCTACATTTTACAGCAGAAGGAGAGGATATGGGTGACAGTCCCAGTGGAACACAAGTGCCTTTAGTTTTCTTGGCCAGGGTGAACCCTACCTTTTCCCCAGGATAGTTGCATCAAATCTACTGAAACAATCAGCAACAACATAGGTATGATTCTTGTTTAATGAAACTAGCATTACTACAAATGTAAGCTACCAAAATCTTGTTCTAAGTCATAAAGTGTACTGCTTCCCATAAATACACATACATCTTTATTTATACAAAAAAATTACACTGAGGGAATTACAAGCAATCAGGCAAGCATTTTTTCTCATAAAGAATATTTAAAGCTCCACTATACATCGCACATATTCAGTAGAGCATATGATACCAGGTACCAATCCACTGACAGTTGTATTACAACTGTGAGAGAGAAAGCATACAATGAACAACTTATCAAATATTTTCTTAAGAGATTCTAGAAGCATTAAAAGTCATGTGAAGGAGAAATTTATTAGACCGTTAATTGCCCCAATCTGAAATCTTACCATTTTATCTAGGTGCTCAATAGACCTATAAATCTCTCCTTGGGATTCATCATAGTAACTGTAACGGAACCTTTGACCTTGAAACAAAAATCATATATAAAATAAAAAAGGACAAATTAGTAGCTAGAACACGCCCCAAATAATTTCATTTATGATAAAAGCAAAATACCGTACAACTGAACCCACACCTCTAGTAGCTAAGCTAATGTAAAAGCAATTGTAAATTAAAAATGGAAAGTGATGCCTTTATGACATTAATAAAAATGGTATTTTCCATTATATCATTCTGTTCCATTACAGTTATTCCAAATACCACCACAGAACCTCACCAGAAACACAGAAAAATCTATACCACTTAAAGTGCAGTTATACTTCAAAAAATGATCATGTTAAAATGGCATTATGTGCTCCCATGTTAATTGCCTACCAATGAATTCATATCATATTTGCTCAGTTTACAAGAAACAGGATGGTTTTTCTCACTGGCAGCCCTGCAGAATCAATCTGAAATCCAAAGATCATGATTTTCTCTCCTGCCTGCACATCAGAAGCAGCAATAAAGGGTGGATATATTTTTGAAACAGTATCTTTATCAGACATAACTACACATTAAAAAGTTACATAAAGTGTTATTGGTTAATACAACAAAATGGAAGCCAGAACTCTGGAATTCTGTTTCTGACTCTGCCATCAGAGTTATGATTCTAGGCAATTCACATAAGCAATGTGCTTCAGTTTACTCATTTGTAAAACAGGTATAGTTACTTCTATCATAAGGATGTTGGCATGTTTCATAAATCAGCTAACTAATTTTGTAAATTCCTTTTAAATGCACACAAGTACAGCCTAAGAGCAAAGAACTACAATCACTGTTACCAGGCTGTAATAAGTGCTGAGAAGCATGTAACATTATACCCTGTCATTACTTCCCTCTACCATTCCATTGATAAAGCAAAGTCTGCCAAATTTAATTGTATCATATTTTCCAAATAAAAAAATTACTTCTGGCCTTCCAGAAGATAGAAAATATTACGTTCAAAGGATAAATTTACCATAAAGTTCTAAGCATCGAAAAATGTCTAATGAAAAGATCTGCTCAAATGTAGATACAACATTGCTATGATACAAAAACCCTGTAACTTACCCCAATGGCAGAAGTCAGAAGAAACCACAAAGAGATTACTAGGATCTGCTAGGTATTTACTGAAGAGTTTTCCAAATTCCTGTTCTTTTGACTCACTCAGTGCTCCAACCAATACTGGAACAATGGTAAACTCATCCTTATGGCTTAAGAGCAAAAGAAAAAAGATTTAATATTTAAAATATTAATTTTAAGAACAGAGTTATTTTAAGGTATGATAATGAAATTATAAATCTACACCTTAGCAGGATACTTATAAACTGAAATGTAGTTAGTTAAAATACCTTTAGATACTATACCTTCCCTGAAACCTCTGCCAATATTTGCCATTTTACATTTTATCTTCATTAATCTTTCTTCTCTCCTTATTTGCAATGTAAAAAAAAGCCACAAAGCCAACAGAACACACCAACTAATCAAAGATGCTATCCACTAAGTAGGGGAGGAGCACAATAGCTATACACCACTGAATTTGTACTTAAACCCTTAAGATAAGACATAAGTGAGCATCACTATGTGCTGACCTTCTACAACAAACTTCACCCAAAGAGCACAAAGCAAAAATAAAACAAATGTACAAAGGGCCAAAATGGATGGTTTTGCCCCTTACTCTCTTTCAGTCATGGGGATCACTTGTAAGAAAAGTAACTATCAACTGAACATTGATTTTTAAGTTGTCAATAGTATATACACATTTTTAAACCTCAACAGAAAATGTATAACACTATTTGAACTTTTTTTTAGACTGGGAATATGGTTCAGTGAACTAGTCACAGAATCATAACATTTAGGGTATGTTTACACTACAGCGTTATTTCAAAATAGTTAATTCGAAATAACGCGTCTACACCCAAAATGCATTTTGAAATAGCGCTTTGCTATTTCGAAATAGCACTTTGCTATTTCGAAATAGCACGTCCACACTGAGTGGACACTGAATCGTATGCAAGGCCAGCCGGAACCAGGTCCGGTAGGGCATCAGGTCAGGAGTTACTTTGTGTGGCTGCTGCCTGAGGCCTGTACTTAAAGGGACCCCCCCCACACACAGCCGGTTCTTAGGTTTCCCTGCTTGCTTGCCTACCTCGATGAGGAACAGCAAAGCATTTTGTCTCTGTGTGCTCTGGTTGTCCTCACTAGGGACACCACAGCACTCTGCAACATGGAGACAGAGCTGCTCCTGGGCACTCTGGTGCTTCTTTTGGATGCGTTGCTGTGAGCCTGGCTGCACTTTCTGCAGGCTGCCATCCAGAAGATCCATCGGGGGGCTGTCAGTATCCAGTATCCCTCACGTCCTTCCACTTATCCCTCCCTAACCCCCCTTCCTGATGTCAAATAAAATTCACGTATTTTCATGAACACAAACTCTCTTTATTTAACAAAAATGGGGGGGGAGGGGGAATGAAGCTGGTGAGACTGGGGAAAGGAGGTGGGACAGGGGAGAAGAGAGGGTGGGAGAGGGGAGGGGGAAACCTGGGAGGAGGGAGCTGGAAGGGGGAAGCAAGGGGAAAAAGGGGGAAGGGAAGCTCCAGGCCCAGGGTTGGGGGGTCTCACCGGACCAACCTGATTTTCATGCAAACCTGCTCCTGGGTTCGCATGTGGCCTTTGGTGGCCACGCTGGCAGCTATCCTGCCCTAGACAGCCCC